GCTCAATGTCCTTTATTTATGGCTAGAAACCAAATATGAGTGAGTACATCCCATGTTCCTCTTTTTGGGTCTGGCTTACCTCACTCAGGATAGTGTTTTCTATTTCCATCCATTTGCCTGCAAACTTCAAGAAGTCCTTGTTTTTTACTGCTGAGTAGTACTCTAATATGTAGCACTCTGAGATTCTAAGGAGAACTTGGTGTGGCCAAATCTTGAAGACTAGTCATGGCCCTTGGTCAATGGACAGACTTCTTTACTCCTCATGCCTGCACATACCCCTGAACAGAATGGGAACATATCTTTACCCGTGCCTGGGGTGGAACTCTGAGTCAGGTCTTCCTACTATTCATCTGTTACCTAAATATCATCCCTAAATCTTCCGTTTCAGGACAGTTAAAGGTCTGTAAAAAATAAACAAGCAGGTTAAATATGCTTCTTTTCCATTTCACAATTTTTGTCAAAAATCTGCAGTTCGTAGACATGTAGATTGATATCCAAGGTGGATTGATATCAGTTCCCTTGGTCCTCATATCAATTTTTATGCCAATATCAAGCTGTTCTCAGTACTGTGGCTCTGTAATGAAGTTTAAAGTCAGAGATTGTGATGCATTCAGCAGTTCCTTGGTTGTATAGGATTGTTTAGGATTATTTAGGTTATCCTGAGTTTTGTTTTCCTTATGAAGTTGAGGATTGTTCTTTCGAGGTCTGTGAATAATTTTGCTGTGATTTTAATGGGCATTTGCACTGAATCTGCAGATTTCTCTGTAGCTATTTGTAAAGGGTGATGTTTCTCTGATTTCTACCTCAGCTCATTTATTTATCTGTGTAAAAGGGGAGCATTTGGGTTGTTTTCAGATCCTGGCTATGACAAAATAATTCTGCTGTGAACATCGTTGAGTACATGTCCTTATGGTATGGTTGAGCATCTTTTGTGTATAGGCCCAAAAGTGGTATCACTGAGTCTTAAGGTAGATTGTTACCTAATTTTCTGAGAAATCCCCATACTAGGATCCAAAGCAGCTGTGCCAGTTTGCACTTCCACCAGCAATGGAGTTTTTTCTTTACCCCACATCCTCTTCAGCATAAGTTATCAGCAGTGTTTTTAATCTTGGTCATTCTTACAGGGATAAGATGGAATCTCAGAGTTTTTATTTGTATTTTTCTGATGGCTAAGGATGTTGAGCATCTTTTAAGTGTCTTTTAGTCATTTTGGGTTCATCTGTTGAGAGTTTTCAGTTTAGGTCTGCACCATGTGTTTTTATTGGATTGTTTGTTCTTTTGATGACTAATTTCCTGAGTTCTTTGTATGTTTTTGGAGTGGATTAGTGATTAGTAAAGATATTTTTCCATTCTATAGGCTGATATTATGTCCTTTGCTATACAGAAGCTTCTCAGTTTAAGATCTCATTTATTAATTGTTTCTCTCAATGTCTGTGCCACTGAGGCTGTGTTTAAGAAGTGTCAATGCATTTTAGTGTACTTTTAACTTTTCTTCTATGAGGTTCAATATTGTTGGTTTCATGCTGAGGTCTTTCATTCATTTAGATTTGAGTTTTGTGCATAGCGATTAATATGGATCTATTTTCATTCTTCTACATGTTGATGCTCAGTTATGCCAGGATCATTAGTTGAATGTGCTTTCTTTTTTCCATTTTCCTGTAAACTTGAAAGACTTACAACGTAAAAGGAAGATAGTTTACAAACTTAATCTGATATACAATGGCTGAAGCCTAATTATAATATTCTTATGGGAAATCTTGAGCTAAAAAGTAAAATTCTTAAAGGGAGCAATGAGCCAATTTCCAATAGACAGCTAACAAAGACTGCCAAACAGGTACTCAAGCAGGTAGAGTTTATTAATTGTGATTCAGCTATAGCAAGTGTGTATATTACTTATAAAACTTATCCTACAGCAGTTTTACAGAAAAACAGAACGTCTTTTATGAGTGCACCTTCCCATTTTTGCCAGTTAGGATGTTAAACTCTTAATTGAAAGCAGCATCTTGTCTAACACAGAAGAACAGGATGGAATCTGGTTCCGCTCATGCGTCATTTCTCCACACTTACTCGATTCCATTTGAGACTTGTTTTGTTGAATGCTTAGATTTTTTATCTCTTCTATTGCCCAAGATGTCAACCACCTTATATCATCTTTTGAATATGTTTTCTTCATTTCAGTCATTTCTCACATATACTGTTTCCCTCTGTCTGTCCCATCTGCATACCCCATTCAGAACCATCCTTACATGTGTGTGGCTTTATAAATTAACATTCCACTGCACACAGCTTTCATACCCATTGTTTCTATTTCGATCTTCTTATTTCCTATCTCTCCCATCATAAAATTTTATGCAGCCCAAGAAAACACTTAACTCAGAACATAAAAGGGAAGTTAAATCACTTTGTCAGTGTACTTGGAATTACATTAAACAAAAATTGATTTCAGGAAAACTTGCTTGAAATAAATTTGTTTAAAACCAATTTTCCAACACGGGAGCACAGTATGCCCCTAACCCAAGAAGAAAAACAAGCATTTTGAAAAGTTCATATTCCTCATATAGATCCAGCTAAGGTGAAGGAAATAAGTTTTTTGGGTTTTGGGGGGTTTTTTTGTTTGTTTGTTTGTTTTGCCTCCAGAAACTTTTGCTTCTGCCAGCATCATATAACATCAAGTATGCCCCCCAAGAAATCTGAGAAGGTAAAAAAAAATACCTCTGTAATTTTTAGGTGCACATCTTTGACTTCCAAGTGTATTCACCAGACACATTCATTCCTTTCTTTGTGAATGTACCTTCTGCGTCACAGCTGGGGATGAGTGGTTAAAAGTGCTTGCTGCACAATCCTAAGGGTCAGAGTTCAGATTCCAGCACCCACATAGCATCCGGCTATTCCACAAACACTTATAGCTTCAGCTCCAAGAAATAAGATGCCCTTTTCTGGCTTCTGTGTGTACACTCAAACCCACAGGTGCGTATATACTCACACAGATATGCAAACATAAATAAATACAATAAATATTGAAAAAAGAATCATATGGTTTCTGGTATGGTGGCACACTCTTTTAATCCCAGCACTTGGGAGCAGAGACAGGTGGGTGGATGTCTGTGAGCCTGAGGCCAGCCTGGAGTACATGGCAAGTTCCAGGTCACCTAGGACTTCACAGTGAGACTCTGTCCAAAACAAAAAGAGCAATATTTTACTATAGACATATTTTGCTGCACATATTATTTGTATCTTAATTTTATTTGTTTTCTGGCATGTAGATTTTAGTTTTTCTCATATTTTCAAATCTGTTCATTATGGTTTCTTTAATAATGTTTATAATTAGGCTACCAATTCAAATATCATATAATATTCAAATGTTCTTCCATCTATTGATTTCTGTTCTGTTTGTTTTATATCACGCGTTTAATTTTAATTCCCTAATTCCTGTGGAATTTGTGTTGGTTTATTGTCTAAAGGGTTGGTTTTGTTTTGAATGCTAAAGGTTGTCTGAGTGGTCTCTCTGTTGAACCCTGGCTGCCTGTTTGGAGTTGTTTTTAGGCCAAGACCATTTGGTTTTACTAAGCAACATCTTGGCACATGCTGTCCAGTAGAGTAACAGAATGTTCTCATTCTGGAAGAACTAAGAAATCACAGCTAAAGACCCCTTACCAGCTGCTTTAGCTCAAATCTGGAATGTCATTTAAAGGCCCGTGTAATACGGCTTATTCACTAGCCTGGCACTATGGGAGAAGTGGGATCTTTAAGAGGTAAAGCCTAAGAAGTTTTAGGTTCATGAAAATTTGCTCTCAAAGGATGCCCTCTTCCTCCCTCTCTTTCATACCCAGAGAGATGGATGATGTGTTTACTCCCCACATCTCTGCAATGATAAGCTGTCCCCCCCACCCGAAGCTACATGGTCAGTTGGCTATGGACTGAAATCTCCAAGACTAAGACTGTTCTTTTTATAAATCAGCACACTAGTGTATAAGACAAAATACATTTTAGTTTAAAGGATAATAAATACTTCAGTCTGCTAAAGTTGTTTGTGAGTCTGTAAAAGTCTAAGGAGAATTAAACATGTTCTTTTACCAAGCACCATGGTAGAAGTGCGTTGTTACAATCCACAGAGATGTAAAAAGTAAAGAGTCCCGAGTTTCACATTCTTACCAGAAAGTTGCTCAAGCTGAGAGAAATATGAAACTCTGCTAATTCCAATGTGTTTGACAGGCCTGATGCAAGATTTCTAGCTCCATGCTAACCACATAGCAAACACAGGAGCAGGAGAAATGACTCCAAGAATGGCTTGTGGTAGAATGCACACTGATGTCCTTGCTCTGTCACCAGTAGTTTGACTTCAACTAAATTATCTGATGAGTTTTCGTTCGCTTTCTTACACACTGGGTAATTTTATAGGACTGTTGAAAGAAGAAAGAATATTGGTATCAATATACTATGGAAGCTATGAAGCATTATTCAAACATTGGTAGCAATTAATTATGTGCTTGTGTATGTAACATAATATTCTACTCTGTGTGTGAGAGAGAGAGAGGAGAGAGAGAGAGAGAGAGAGAGAGAGAGAGAGAGAGAGAGAGAGAGAGAGAGAATATTCTACTTCCTTCTCTTGCTCAAAAGGAGACTTGGTAACAACTGTCCTTGCCTAAAGAAACACTATCAGGATTCTCTCTCTCTCTCTCTCTCTCTCTCTCTCTCTCTCTCTCTCTCTCTCTCTCAAATCCATTAAAAAAGAATTGAGCATTGACTCTAAGCAGGGGTGGAATGACCCTATTCTAGCCACCATGTATCATATGCTGAAAGATTATGATACTTCATAGAGAGAAGTAAGGACAGGGCCTTGTCACTATTCTATCCTAATTCTCTGCTTATACTATGATCATGAAGTTTGTGATAAGCCAGCTTTTGGGAGAGACTAGCAGAGTGTGGGAGTGTTAGCTGCATTTCTACGCTTGGGCAGAGTTAAGCCCAGGTTGGGGGAGGATATTATGGGTAATCGAGTGAAGTCAATGGGAGCCTTACACAATGATTCAAAGACTTCACTGACTCAAAGATGTGTTTGTGAAGTCTATCAGATGTTCTCATTCTTCAGATGACAGAAAAATGCATTCCATCTCTGCTTGTTCATTCTGGATGCCTTTTCATCTCTTCTTTTTTGTCAGACTTTATCCTTCTAACCTTTAAATCCAACATCTCCACAGACCATTTTTTAAACTGATGCATAATAGGTGTACATACTTTCAGGGTATAGTGTAGTAACTCAATAAATGCATATACTGCGCAATGATCAAATTGGGGTCATTAGCATTTTATTATCTTTAAACACTTGGCATTTGTGTTGAAAACGTTCGACCCCTTCTAATTCCAGATAGGGAATTTAGAAACAGGAAATTATCAATGCACTTGAGCATGTCCTGAAAATCTAGAAATTAGGGCCACCAAGATAGCAGGTAAAGATACTTACTGACACAACTGATGGTCTTAGTTCAACCCCTAGGACCCACATGGTAGAAGACACTGACTCTAGCAAGTTATTCTCTGACCTCTCGAAGCACACTATGACACACATGCATGTACACACACACACGAGCACACACACACACATAAATAAATTAGCACAAGGAAAGACATAAAAATAGAAAGTATTACGGGAAAGCAAAAAGAGATCTCAAAGAAGATAGAAAATAGAGCAATGGATTATGGGAGGGGAACAGTGGAGAGCAAGGTGAAGTGGCACATGCATGAATATCCCATGAAAAACCAATACTTTGTATGCCGACCTAAAAAAAAAAGAACTTTAAAAATAAAATAAACAAAAGTAGAAGACAAGCATGCCCATCAGGTTATCTTGAACTGAATCATCACCTATAAAATGAACATTTGTCTATATTTCAAATTAAGACTTGTGGAAAATAAAAACACCTGGAAGCATTTGAAATTAAAAATTGTAACTCAATATGATTAAAATGAAAATTTTTTAACTCCACCATCAATTAACAAAACACACTTTTTCCTAATTCAATATAAAATGTAAACAGCAACAGCTAAGGATACTTTGGCATCCCTACACTGGTTGCTACCGTTTGGGTCTTAAGTCCCCTGCCCCAAATGCCTACTTGTTAAAGGCTTGAGCCCCATTTTGGTGTTCCTTGGAGGGGATGGAACCTTTCATAGTGGAGCTGAGTGGAAGCTGTTTGGGTTATTGGGAGCATGCTGTCAAAGAGAATTGTAGGAACTGGTTTCTCTTGTTTCTTTACCTCTTGCTTCCCAGCCATGAAGTGAGCGGTTTTGTTCTGTCGGGAGTTTTTTGACAATGCCATCTGTCATTTCCAAGAGGCCTGATACCAGTGGACCTGCCTGACTATGGAGTCACACATCCAAAACTGGGAGCCAAAATATATACCCTCCATCTACAAGGTGATTGTGTCGGGTATACAGTAATGGAAAGCTGGTATACACACCCAGTGTCACAAAGAAGCTAATCCACCCTCCTAAGAGTTGCTCAAAGACTTGAGGTGAAGATTTGCTTGTTAATTCTGGCTTTAGCCAAAAATTCTCAACAAGTACCTAAGACCAAAGAGCCTGACATTTCTTGATATCTCTGGCCAGTTCATGACAAAGCCAAAAGTCATAACACAGTATATAGATGGCACTGAGGATAAATGATCAGCATGCAGCTAGCTCTTAAAAAGATTATTCTGGGTGTGTACTGAAAGAAAAAGTAGACACACCTAGGTGATGGCATAGTGTCGCCAGCTTGTTAGGGTATCAGAAGGTCAACTTGTAAATCTTCCGGATGCCATGTTTAAGAGCACTGTGTTGGTAGACAGATAGTCCAGGGTGTTCATATTGACACCAAGGAAACTTTCATGTGCTACAAGTTAGGCCTTCCCCAACGCCCTCACCATGAGGCTTTTGCCAGGACACTGCTACACGGACGTCTACAGTATCTGGAGCAAAGGGAACAACGGCTTCAACTAGGGTAACAACGATGAGGTTAAGATGACTGAATGGATTTACAAAGATATTTGAAAACAGTACTGGTAGGTTCTGGGGACTGATATGCAGTCCAGTATTTAAGCAGGTGGGGGAAATAAGGCCATCTCCCATATTTTGATTAGAAAGTCAAACGCAGCTGGGCGGTGGTGGCGCACGCCTTTAATCCCAGCACTCGGGAGGTAGAGGCAGGCAGATCTCTATGAATTTGAGGCCAGTCTGGTCTACAAGAGCTAGTTCCAGGCAGGCACCAAAGCCACCCTGTCTCAGAAAAAACAAGGGAGGGCGCAAACATTTTGAGGTAATAATTTGAGACAGAGACAGTGAGATGATCTTGAAATCCCACACTCCACAGCTTGGCTCACTCCACTCCTCCCGGCTCACCTGGACCACTGTCCTCTCCCCCTTAGGCAGCTTTCATTTGTCTGTTAGAAGACTCCTTGAGCCCCAGGGTCTTCCCACACAGAGTTCTCTATGCCTAGAAAGTTCTTATCTCAGATCTCTGCATGGGCAGCTTTTCTCCCTCAGGTCCATGCTATTGGAGGCCTCACACCACCCGAAGTAAATCTCCCACCTACTCCATCTTCCATCACAACTGCTTTGTATCCATCCTAGCACTTACCACAACTTACAATCGGTCTGCTTATTTTGTGGTCTCTCTCCTTAACCAGACTGAGGCTTCTTAAAAATAAACAATAATTTCTGACTCCCTAGCATCTAACATAATTCTCTGGAAAAAATAAATATGCAAATAGCAGGGATCAATACTCCATGGCCTCTGCAGTACAGATCTCTAGAGGCCTGTCTTAAAAATCTAAGGAAAACAGGCAAGATACTGCAAGTCGTTCCGGTTCAGAAGAGAACAAGCAGAGGCAGGTCCAGGCTTGGTCCCGCCTTGGTCCCTAGTCACACTGTGTGGGCTCTCTCCTGACCCCGAGGCTGACCCAGCTAAAGAATGGGGAAGTTCACTGTACAAGTGGCAAGTGTGTAAACAGGTATTACATTTCTATAGCAGTTACAGCTCATAGAAGATGGCTTACATTCTCTGTGAAGTCTTAAACTGACCCAGTAAAGAGAAGAGGTTACTCACCGTTTTCTGGGTGGATATGAGGAAGCTGAAAGGCCAAAGTTTTGTTCAAGTTCATGGGTTTAACAAGCATAAAACTGAATTGCAGTCTAGGTGACTGGCCTCCAAGTTCACAGTTCTGTGCACCGTGTGGTTCCATTTAGTATGAAAACCTGGGCAAGGGCCCAGGATCTGTTCTCAGTGCTGTGAGAAAACAAAGCCTATTACAAACAGCTTAGCATGCATGCTTTGTGCAAACAAACGGGTTTCAAAGGAAATACAAAACCCCATCCTTGATCTAACACAGACAAGTACACCCTTAAAACAATGTGAACCTGCCCCAGACCACCAAATGTATAGCTTATAAGCCATGAAATTAGTCCTCTTCCTGGCCAAGGAACACAGTATGTCCGTCCTTGATTCCATTTTGCTTGAAGATGATGCTGTTCTTCAGGACGACGTGAGACAACACTGTCCAACAGCGAACTCTTCAAACAGAACATTATTGTCTTCCTCATAGAACGCTGGGCCTTGTTCCCTTCCTCCTGCAAATAAGAGTCAAGCATTTTATTCAGAGCTCTTTAATAAACAATACACCCATATTTTCTGCAGAAATGAAACTTCTCATTTTACCTTCTTATGTCTTGTGCTTTTTATATCAAGTCCTAAAGAGACTAAATAAACAAACCCACCTTTTTAAAAACATTGTCTTCAAGCAAAGTCTATAAACATTGTGAAATGTAGCATTCTCGAATGGGTTTTTGAAATAATTAACATAGGCTAGGAAGATAACTTAGATGGTAGAGTGTTTGTCAAACAAAGCCCTGGGTTTGATTCCCCAGAGCCGGGAAAGAAAAAAAAAAAGACTTGTCTCACATGGCAGTAATCCCAGCATTCAGTAGGTAGAGGCAGAAGGAACACACATCCAAAGTCATCCTTGGCTACGTACCAAGATTGATGCCTATCTTGGCTTGAGACAATAATAAAAGTAATAATAATATAGATTATATTTAAGTCTACCAAAGCAAAATACAGGCTCTATTTATATAATCTAATATAAATCACTAAATCTTCAAGAATTCACAACTCCATGAGAAAATTCACTGGTTACCAAAAACAAACAGTAAAGATGAAAGATAAAAAGCTAAAAGGCGCTACTCAGAACTGCCCATTATCTGGGGTGCCTACTAAAGCAGAAGTGACCCCCTCTCCTGCCCTTTGCCCAAGAAAACCCAAAGGAATTCTGGCCACCACATCCCCCCTGTGCCCAGCACGCACCTCACTGATCACTCCACGCTGCACATCTTTTTCCTTGGATGTTTCCTTGGATGTTTTCCTCGTTCTCATCCCTTCCCACTCCCCTCTTGTCTTTCTCCATTCTTCACCTCCTCCTCATTCCCTCCGCTGCTTGTGCTTTCCTCCCTTGGCATAAAACCAAGTCCAAGGATAAACTGCTATTTATTAGTTGCTTTGAGAACCTTCAGTCTTTGTTTTAAATGTGGGTGCTTTGAGTGTTTCCTGTGTTTTCATCCTAAGGAAAAGCCTGCAGAGCCAGGGTTGATGGCACACAGCATTAGTCCCACCACTCAGGAGGCAGAGCCAGCTGGATCTCTATGAGTGTGAGGCCAGTCTGGTCTATATAACGAGTTCTAGATAGCCAGGTCTATGTAGGGAGACCCTGTCTCAAAATACAAACAACCAATGAAAAGTACATGGGTGTGGGCATACAGAGAGATGCCTTGGTGCCTACATTATTCATGATGGTCTCCTGGAGGTTAATAGACTTTAAAAGACAGAGTAGTCCCCACTCTAGAACTGTATAACTTTGGCTGAGCCATCTGAAATCTGCTAGGACTGCGTGTCTGTACAAAGATTGCACTTCTACCGGCGGGAAATGATCCCTTTGGTGTCTGGGACACACTGAAATCCACATCTACCGCCCTTTACCTCCCTGAGCTCTCACATTTGACAGAGCCAGCACCTGGCCTCTCCCCCTGTAACTTCCACTTTATGCAGACTGACTCAAGCTTTGTCCCAAGTATAATTAGTCTCTTCTTCATTTACTCAAGCTGCTCTTCCCTACAGAGACACCCGTTTGCCTTCCCCTCTCCCATGTTCCAAGAGCTCCCTTCAATCTTATTTCTCCCCTGAACCCTCCTCTGAGGTACTTTTCTAGCCTCGGGATCAAGGTTTCCTAGACTGAAATTTAGCTATATGTTTGTTAACCTGCAATCTGTGTGTACATGCCAAGTATATGCTGTTTTGTTTGTGAGGAAGTACAGTAGTTTATGTCAGTATGAAAAATAACTGAAAAATTATAAAGAGAATGGTTTGTTTGGTTCCCAGTTTTGATGGTTCCGGCCCATGATGGCTGTTGTTTGGGGTCTGTGGTGAGGAAACACATTGTGGCAAAACTTACTCACTTCACGGCCAGAAGAAAAGAGAGGAAATGCCTAGAGTATCACTGCCTCCTTTGGGAAACCCCCCCCCCAAGACCTGAATATCCCACTACATCCTGCTCTCTGTAAGATTTGAACACCCCCCAACAATGCCATCCTGGGGACCAAGGCCATTGGGAAAGGGGGGACTCAAGAACCAATAGAAAAGGGATCTGCAGCTGCTACTCCCTCTATCTGCATCTACTTCCAGCCCCAGCTCTTTTGGTCTTAGACACAAATTGCTTAGTGAACACCTTCTGGCACAAAAGATTCTCTTTTCTGAGAAGGGAAGAGTGACAAAGGTCTTGGCAGCCTGTATTCCAGCTTTACCCAAAGCTAATTATCACATTCTCAGCAGATCACAGAAAAAGGAAAGGATTATGACGGGGCTGATTTCTGTCCAGCATTTATCCCTTTATTTCTACTGGCTGGTAAGCTTCTCGGCTCCTACCCAGTGTCTCCGTCACCCAGTGTTGCCATTTCTTACATTTCTCACCAACACACCAGCTAAATGTTCTTTTTCTTATTCAATTAGAGTGAGGCGACATGTCACTGGAAAAGGGATGAAGAAACAATCAAACAGAAAAGAGACTCAGAAAGCCTATCTAAGTTTTCAAAACACTGCATATGACTTAGAGGTTAAGCGCCCTGACTGCTCTTCCAGAGTAACAAAGCACAATTCCCAGAACCCACATACAGCTCAGAACTGTCTGTAACGGACAGGCACCATGCACAGACATACATGTGGGTGGAATTTCTCTATGCCCCGGCAGCCGCTCCCACACAACCACACAGAGACTTCTTATTAATTATAAATGCTTGGTACCAGCGTGTGCTCATTCTTATCTAGCTTCATAACTTAAATTAACCCATTTCTATCCTTCTGTGTGCTGTCCCAAGGCTCATTCACCTCATGTAAGCACTTCCCATCCTGCTTGCTCTGCATTTCATGGCGTCCCCTTAAACTACACCCCCTTTCTTCTCCCCAGCATTCCCTCTGCCCTGAAAATCCTGCCTAGCTATCAGCCAATCAGCTTTTTATTAGCGATGAGCGGGACACATTTTCAGAGCGTACAGAAAGATAATTCCACAGCACGTGCGTGCAAGCATTCACAGATACTCATCAAATAAGTAAGTAAATTAAGAATTTCAAGGGGCAGTGGTGCTGGAGTGATGGTTCAGGGGTTAGAGCATTGGCTGCTCTTCTAGAGAACTTGGGTTCAATTCCTAGCACCCACCTGGCAGCTCACAGCTGTCAGTAACTCCAGTCAGCTCAAAGGAGTCAGGCACCATCTTCAAGGCCCTGTGAGCACCAGGCATACACACAGTGCACAAACGTACATGCAGGCAAAATACTCAGACACATGAAACAATATATATGATTTTCAAGTCACTACAAACACTTCTTATTGCCGCTAGCCCCATAGCTGATTGGGTTAATTTTCAGCATGCCCCGTGGCTGGGGGTGTCAGGAAGCCCTCGGGTATAACTCAGGTTTCCAAATGCACCTCTTATCCCAGGGATCCTCTACTTGTTCTGCAGAGGGAATGTGGTTCAAAACAGTCTAAAGGTTTTATCCTTCCCAAATTCCTCCTATGAAGCAGTCTGGCATGGACCTAATATCTCATCTGTGTCCTTCTCTGTTGCTTCCTCCTTTGACCCACAGTCTCTGGCTCTGATTCAGCACCAAAGACTGAAATACAAAAACTCTGGCTTGTAAAGAAAACTAGAAAAGTCAGTATTATTTGCTCATGCAGAGTATGCTCACCTGACCCTTTAAATGCCAAGCCTGGTCAAATAAAAGAGGCCATGTGATAGGCAGCTATGGGAACAACAAAACTTGGGTCCTCCAGCGCTCAAGGTCTGTTCTAGCTTAACAATATTGGGAACTCACCAAGGCCAGCTGGCCTGGGTCTGAAAAAGCCTGGGATAAAACCGGACTCGCTGAACATAGCAGACAATGAGGACTACTGAGAACTCAAGAACAATGGCAATGGGTTTTTGATCCTACTGCACATACTGGCTTTGTGGGAGCCTAGGCAGTTTGGATGCTCACCTTACTAGACCTGGATGGAGGTGGGTGGTTCTTGGACTTCCCACAGGGCAGGAAACCCTGATTGCTCTTTGGGCTGACGAGGGAGAGGGACTTTTTAGGGGGAGGGAAATGGGAGGCAGTGGCGGGGAAGAGACAGAAATCGTCAATAAATAAATAATTAAATAAATAAATAAATAAATAAATAAATAAATAAATAAATAAGAAAAAAATAAGCACGGGGCTTTGCATTTTCACGGATTGGCCTTACTGGGGGAAGTTCCGAGCTATTTTCTGTTGAATGACATAATTGTATGTAACTAGACTTCTCGTGGGAATGGTAACTGGACAGAGACAGTCCTGAAAACTAAGGTTGTTTCGTGGGGAAGTGAGGCTTTTACTTATGCCGAAGGAGAATAAAAGTCAATTTTGAAAGAGCATGCTGTGAGAACTCTGAGTCCAACACTATGGACTTAACCTGAGAAGAAAACCTAGCATTGCCTGTGTTATCCCCGTACCTCCAGCTGTCCCACACTGTAGTATGTTCACCTGACCACCGACATACCCAGCCTAGTAGGTTTTGTTAGTGCCGAAAGCAAAATGCAGACTCTACACACACAAAGACGACTCAAAACCTGAGCCTTCTTGATTTGGGTCATCTAAACTTAATAGACAAATACTTGCATATAGAAAGGAAAGAAAGAAAGCAAGAAAGAGAAAAGAAGGGAGGGAGGGAGGGAAGACAGACAGACAGAAAGAGGAAGAGAGAGAGAAAAAAGCAAGTTTTAAAGGGGGAGAAAAGGCAAAAGAATGGAAAGAAGATAAAAGGGAGAGAAAAAAGGAAAAGAATATTTAGCTGAAAGTTTGGAGGAACTTTATACCAGTGTTTTGTACACTCTGGCAAACTGGTTATTGGATGGATAGATAGATGAATTGGTAGATAAAGTATATGAATAATTTAGTTTTGAAACTAGTTTTAATATCAAATAATTCAGAAACTCTGCTGAAATATTAAGTAAATCTATCTGTATATAAGAAGTCAAGCCAGGCAATGGTGGCGCGCCTTTAATCTCAGCACTCGGGAGGCAGAGGCAGGCGGATCTCTGTGAGTTCAAGACCAGCCTGGTCTACAGAGCTAGTTCCAGGACAGGCTCCAAAGCCACAGAGAAACCCTGTCTCAAAAAACAAAAAACAAAAACAAAAAAAAAAAAAGTCAATACCATTGGCATTCCCTCTTAGACCTTTAAATAGAAGTACTTTCTTCCCATTGTCTATCCTCCACTAGAAATGTTTGTCTATAAACCAGACACCTACCCTGCCCAGTTACCTTTCCGCAAGGATACTGATCAGAGATGGGCCTGTCATTCAGCAGGGCAAAATTCACAGGTATGCATGAGGCCTGTACCTTTGGTTTGGTTTTCAGAATCCAGGGTTTTCTCTCAATAAGATGAGATGCAAATGAAGACTGAGTGCTTACTGATGAGAATTGACTACACACTTAGATACAGCAAAGTAGAGCCCAACAAGAAAAATAAATAAATTTTGGGCTTTCGATCTACCAGTCAAATTTTAGCAAAGAATTTTAGTTGTTAATTGTGAAATAGCTCTACCTGCCGAGGAGACTCTTGGGATGGAGTACTGCTGATGGATACCAATTGTAAATACTCTGTTTACACAACTCTAACTGTGCATCCCTCCGTAAAATAAGAAAGTTTATGTCCACAGCGCTTATGTTCAGTGGTCAAGACCTAGGGCAAACACACGCTCTGGCTCAGAACAATGGCCTGATCCCAGGCATTTAATAAAGATGACTCAGCACTCAGAACACTTAGAGCAAATCTCAGAGATTAAAGAGACTGCCTGTGCCAGATGCCCTGTTTCTTCCACCAGGACTT